TGTACTCAAACGAAGGGTCAGTGACAACAGTGGCGAGGAAACGCGTGACAGTAGGACTAGCAGCACGAAGGGAGTCAGACTCCGGGTCCGGACCGTCAGGAAGAGAGGACGCAGGAGGAGACGGCAGAGGGACACGCTGTGGAGCAGTGGAAGGACGCAGAGTCATATAGTGAGTGCCAGGGACAGGAGGAGGACGCTGACGTGGAACACGACCAGTGCGGACAGCGCGAACAGGTGACTCAAGACGAGACTCAGGCGACGCAGGACGAGACTCAGGCGCACGACGCTCCGTAAGACCTCTAGTCGGTCCAGAGTAAGGAGAAGGACCAGGCAGTGGAGAGGCTGGCAGTAACTGCGACTGCGACTGGACAGGCGGTGGACTCAGTAAGGGCGGAGGAGGAGGACCAGTAGAAAGCGGTAGGCCAAGAACCTGCTGAAGGAGCGGAACGTAGTACGGCCGCGGCCGCGCAGCGCCTCCAGAAACAGCAGAGACAGCACCAGTACCCTCAGCTCCAGGGTCTCCAGCTCCAACTCCCGCAGCACCACCAGCGGCAGCACCTCCATCAGCACCAGCTCAAGTAGCACCTCCAGCAGCACCAGCTCCAGCAGCACCTCCAGCAGTAACAGCTCCAGCACCTCCAGCTCCAACTCCTGCAGCACTACCAGCCCCAGCAGCTCCAGTACCTCCAGTACGAGCACCTCCGGGACCAGTAGCGCCAGCACCTCCAGCAGCTCCAACACCTCCAGTACGAGCACCTCTAGAACCAGCGGCTCCAACAGCTCCAGCACCAGCAGAAACTCCAGCTGCTCCAGCAGCTCCAGCAGCACCTCCAGCAGGTCCAGCATGACCTCCAGCTGCTCCAGCAACTCCAGCACCAGCAGCACCTCCAGTGGCTCCAGCAGCACCTCCAGCGGCGCCAGTACCTCCAGCACGAGCAGCACGGCTATAGCGACGAGCGTACCACTCACGCAGCCCCTGTGGAGAGAGGGGCTCCGGCCGTGACGAGATACCCGAGGACCTCCAGACACAGCACGCTCAGGAACAGCACCCCCAGACTCAGCACCCTCAGGCTCAGCACCCCCAGGCTCAGTACGCTCAGGCTCAGCACCCCCAGGCTCCGCACCCCCAGACTCAGCAACCCCAGGCTTAGCACCCCCAGGCCCCGCACCCGCAGGCTCAGCACCCCTAGCAGCACCAGAGTCAACAGCTACCTCGACGGGCTCGACAGGGTCTACCTGGGCCACACCGGAAGGGGCAGGACCCTGGGGGGGGAGGGGGTCTACCGGAGGAGTACCGGGAGCAAGGAAGAGCGGCGGGGGGGGGGGGAGAGGGGCATTGCGGTAGGGAAAGAGACGGTAGTAAGAGACCGACTCGTCAAACGTGACGTCCTGAGAGGATAGAACACGGCGCGAGGTGGGGTGGAAAAACTGCCACCCAGGCGCGTCAGGGAGGAAGCCAAGGAAAACGCAGGGAACAGCACGAGAGGACAGCTTGTCCGCTGTAGTATCGCGGACAAAAGCTCCAGATCCCCAGACACGGTACACAGACGCATCACCAACCTTCCCCGTCCACCGCAGAGTAGGTGTGGTCTCCGGCAAGGAGACACGAGGCTGAAGGTTGATCTGATGCACAGCGTACTGAACCGCGAACGGCCACAGAAAATGGGGAGCAGCCGTATGGATCATGGACGTGCGAGCGACGTCCATGACCATGCCAATGCGGCGCTCAGCAATCCCATTTTGCTGTGGAGAGGCCGCTAAAACGTCTGGCGGATGCCCTCCGCACGACAGAAAGCCCTCGGGAGGTCTGAGGAAAACTCACCACCTCTGTACCCCCTATTGTCTAACCCACTACAGCCTAAACAGGCTATAACATATGTTTGACACACCCCCATAGGCAAAGTGGGGGAGAACAAGAGGTCACAAGACCAGTCAAGAAAAGCAAAGCAAGCTCAGGGTGGATCTCAAGGATACCACACAAATTCCGAGCACAAGCAAGCGGTCACAAGACCAGTTCACATGCAGTTTGATAATACAACAAGAAATACAGTGATCACAACCTAGTAAGTGTAAACATGCAGGCAGATATATATAAGGATCACAGTACAAGTAGAGTCAAGAAGTAAGCAAGTGAGGCACAGTAGGCACAAGGCCTAGAACAGTACAGAAACGCTGATGATCACAAGGCTGAAGAGCCTTGGTGAACACATCAGCAGTGTTGGCCCGAGTGGCCACGTAAGCCAGACGAAGCTGACCACGCTGCTGCAACTCTCGAGCAAGGAAGTAGCGCAGAGCGATGTGCTTCGTTCTGTGCTCCAGTCTGTGCTCCTGACACAAGGCAATCATGGCCTTGTTGTCGACATACAGCACTGGAGGAGAACGAGGCGGCTCTCCAAGGTCGGTCAGCAGGTAGGTGAGCCAGCGTAACTCCTGAGCAGCCATGGCCCCAGCGTAGATCTCAGCCTCACAACTGGAGCTGAGAACAGAAGACGAGCGGGTAGACCGCCAAGAAACAGAGCCGGAGCCAAGGCTGAAGGTGTAACCCTGTGACGACCGCTGCGTAGCCAAGTCGTCAGCCCAAGAAGCGTCTGCGTGACCAGTGAGGACAACTCGAGCCCGTCCTCCAAGCACTAGCCCCATGCCCGACGTACTGCACAAGTAGCGCAACACCCTCTTATTAGCATCCATGTGCTCCTTCATGTGTCGGCCAGGAGCGACATAGCGTGCTAGGATGCTAAGAGGGTAGGCTAGGTCAGGTCGAGTGCAGGTCATCAGGTACATGAGGCAGCCCACGAGCTCTGGATACGGGCCACTCGGCTCTACGGACTCGTCCGAAGGTGGAGCTGAGAGCGAGTGACCGGTAGGCAGAGAAGTGGACTGTGGCGAGGAGTACGTGAAGCGGAAGCGCTGAAGGACCTGCTGCACCATGTGTAACTGAGTCAAGGTAATGGTGCGCTGTGCTCTGTCCCGGGTGATCCGCAAGCCAAGATAGCTTGTCAGCTCACCCAGGTCTGTGCACGTGTGTCTCTTCTGCAGCTCCGACTTCACGTGGGTGAGTGCCTCAGTGTCAGCAGTAGCAAAGACCAAGTCGTCTACGTACACGAGAACGTAGAACGGCGGCAGCGTGGTGTCGGTGCGTACAAACAGCGACGGGTCAGCAGTAGAAGGAGCAAACCCAAGAGCAGCAAGAGTCGTCCTCAGTGTGTCATGCCACTCACGGGGTGCCTGGCGGAGACCGTAGACTGGCCGCCGGAGGCTAGACTGGCCGCCGGAGGCTCCACTGGGTACCAGGAGGAAACGACCCAGTGAAGCCAGGTGGGCGGCGCAGCCAGATCTCCTCGTGCAAGCTGCCCTGTAGGAAAGAAGTGCTGAAGTCAAGAGAGTGGAGCTCGTAGTCACGCTGAGCGGCGACGTGCAGCAGAACCCGAAGAGTGGTCATCTTCGGGGTAGGGGAGAAGGTCTGGAAGAAGCCAACTCCCTCACGCTGACTGAATCCTCGTGCAACGTAACGCGCCTTGAAGACAGGCGGAGAACCCGGCGGCCGCTTCACCCTGAAAATCCACATGCCACTGACGATGTTCGCCCCAGGCGGGGGAACCTCGTCGACGTAGGTGCCTGTGGACTTCCAGGAAGTCATCTCTGCGTCCATGGCTGACTGCCACTGAGAGGAGTAGGGACCCTCTATCGCCTCTGCGTAAGAGCGCGGGGTCGGGATGTCTGGTGCATCCGGGTCTCCCTCAGGGGCAATCAGCATGGACACGAGATGAGGTAAAGCAGCGGCAAAGCACTCAAACTCCTCCTGTCTGTCGTCAAGGACGTCCGTGCCAAGAGCACACTCACCCCTGACGGACGGAGGACAGACAGACTCAGACTCAGCAACAAGGCTAGCAGCGTAGTCTAGACGACAGGCGGCAGCAAAGTCAACAAGCTCAGCAACTAGAGCAGACGCAGCAGTGGACTCAAAGGAAGGGTCAGTGACAACAGTAGCGAGGAAACGCGTGACAGTAGGACTGGCAGCACGAAGGGAGTCAGACTCCGGGTCCGGACCGTCAGGAAGAGAGGACGCAGGAGGAGACGGCAGAGGGACATGCTGTGGAGCAGTGGAAGGACGCAGAGTCATATAGTGAGTGCCAGGGACAGGAGGAGGACGCTCACGCGGAACACGACGACCAGTACGGACAGCGCGGACAGGCGACTCTGGACGAGACTCAGGCGACGCAGGACGAGACTCAGGCGCACGACGCTCCGTAAGACCTCTTGTCGGCCCAGAGTAAGGAGAAGGACCAGGCAGTGGAGAGGCTGGCTGTAACTGTGACTGCGACTGGACAGGCGGTGGACTCAGAGGAGTAGGACCAGTAGAAAGTGGGAGGCCAAGAACCTGCTGAAGGAGCGGAACGTAGTACGGCCGCGGCCGCGCAGCGCCTCCTGAACCAGCAGAGACAGCACCAGCACCCTCAGCTCCAACTCCCGCAGCAGCTCCAGTCCCAGCAGCTCCAGTACCTCCAGTACGAGCACCTCCAGGACTAGCGGCTACAGCACCGTCAGCAGCTCCAACACCAGCAGGACCTCCAGCAGCGCCGGTACCTCCAGCACTAGCACCTCCAGGACCAGCGGCTCCAGCAGCTACAGCACCAGCAGCACCTCCAGCAGCTCCAGCACCAGCAGCACCTCCAGCAGCTCCAGCACCAGCAGCACCTCCAGCAGCAGCGGCTCCAGCAGCTCCAGCACCTCCAGCACCAGCAGCACCTCCAGTAGCTCCAGCTCCAGAAGCACCTCCCGCAGCACGGCTACAGCGCCGAGCGTACCACTCACGCAGCTGCTGAGGAGAGAGAGGCTCCCGCCGGGACGAAGCAGCACCTCCAGACTCCACACGCGTAGGCTCAGCACCCTTAGGCTCCGCACCCCCAGACTCAGCAACCCCAGGCTCAGCACCCCCAGACTCAGCAACCCCAGGCTCCACACGCTCAGGCTCAGCACCCCCAGACCCGGCACCAGCAGGCTCAGCACCCCCTAGCAGCACCAGAGTCAACAGCTACCTCGACAGGCTCGACTGCGTCGACCTGGGACACACCGGAGGGGGCAGGACCCTGGGGGGGGAGGGGGTCTACCGGGGGAGTACCTGGCGCGAGGAAGAGCGGCGGGGGGGGGAGGGGGGCAGTGCGGTAGGGGAAGAGACGGTAGTAGGGAACTGACTCGTCAAACGTGACGTACAGAACACGGCGCGAGGTGGGGTGGTAAAACTGCCAATCAGGCGCGTCAAGGGGGAAGCCAAGGAAGAAGCAGGGAACGGCACGGGAGGACAGCTTGTCCGCAGACAAGTCGCGGATGAAAGCTCGAGATCCCCAGACACGGAACGCAGATGCATCGCCAACCTTCCCCGTCCACCGCAGAGTGGGGGTGGTCTCCGGCATGGAGACCCGGGGCTGGAGGTTGATCTGATGCGCCGCGTACTGAACCGCGAACGGCCACAGAAAATGGGGAGCAACCGCATGGATCATGGACGTACGAGCGACGTCCATGACCATGCCAATGCGGCGCTCAGCAATCCCATTTTGCTGTGGAGAGGCCGGAAGCGTGAACGTCTGGCGGATGTCCTCCGCCCGACAGAAAGCTCGCAGAAGGTCGGAGGAAAACTCTCCACCTCTGTCTGAGTGCAGACGCAGAACAGGAAAGTCCGAGCCGAAACTCTCTCTGAGCTGGAGACGAGCAGCGCGGATCCAGTCGATCAACACCTCAGTGACCTCACCCTTGCGACGCAAGGGGAAGACTGTGGTGTAGCGCGAGTAGTCGTCAACGACCAGCAGGAAGTAACGCTCCTGACCCTGTCCACGGACGCGGGCTGGGCCCCACACGTCCATGTGGAGAGTCTGCAGAGGAGCCTCTGTCGGAGGAAACTCAGAGGAGTGAGGAGCGGCGCGCTGCCGGCCCTCAACACAAGGAACACAGGTAGGGGCAGGCCCCGGAGGAAGTGGAGGGAGGGACTCTGGGAGTCCTGAAACAAGGACACGGGAGGCCATACCTCAAAGACAAGGCAGGGAGGGGTGACCAAGGCGGTGGTGCCAAAGAAGAGTCTCGTGTGACAGAGGACGACACGAGCAGGGGGCAGACGCCGGACCAGACCTGGACGCAGCAGGAAACACCTGACCAGACGCGGCTACCTGACCAGATGCAGTGGCAGGAGGAGACACAGTAGTCAGTGTGTAGAGGCTCGACCCAGGCCGACGGGTGAACGTGGCCAGGTGGCGGCCCGTCCGAGAGCAAGTACAGTGGGTCACACGCTGACCTCCCGGGGTGAACTGGTCAACCCACACGTCCTGGAGGTCAGCTCCACTCACCAAGTTCGTAGAGAACGAGGGGAGGTGGAGTCCCGACAGTAAGCCCGACGGGGCCGCAGGACACGGTAGAACCGTGGAGGAGTGCGCAAGGACTGGGCCCCCAGAGGGGTCAGCCAGGGAGACTGCAACTGGCCGACTGAGCGGCGTGAGTGTGGTACTTTCGCGAAAGAAAGAGCGCGAAGCACCTGAGTCAAGTGTGAAAGGTGTGTAGGGCCTCAGTAGGTGCAGTACCAGAGAGAGCAGACTCACCACCACCTGAAGCAGCAGACTCACTAGCACCTGGAGCGGCAGACTCACTAGCACCTGGAGCAGCAGACTCACAAGCACCTAGAGCAGCAGCCTCAATGCCCGGGTCGGGCGGAACACACAGGTAACAGTCACCCTCAGCACTATCAATCACAGCATACATGGCAGCAAGGATAGCATCGAAATCAAGATCAAAGATAGCAACATTCTGCTTCAGCAGATCACCCCAGCGGGGGAGCTCAGCGCCGTCAGGAAACTGTGCACGCCAGGCGTCAGTCAGGCGACCGAAGCAGCGCTGCGAAGTGTGCTGCCCACCGCACGTCTCTCCACGGCGCCCGCCTGTGCGAAGAACGTAAGTGCAGGGACCAACACCCCCAGCCCTCCCACGCCCAGCGTACCACTCACGAAGCTGCAGGGGCGAAAGGGTCTCACGGGAACGCGGCTGCTGCTGGCGCTGGCTACCGCCAAAGCCTCCACGCTGTGCGGTACCTCTTCGGCCAGCACCACCACCGCCTCCACCTCCACCGCCGCTGCCGCTGCCTCCACCACCTCCACTGCCGCCCCCACTCCCGCCACCACCCCCACCGCCACCACCACCCCCTCCGCCCCCTCCACCGCCTCCACCGCCACCCCCTCCGTCCCCTCCACCACCCCTGCCCCCCTTGCCCTTGCTGTTGCGGCGCCTCCCACTAGGAGCAGACGCAGCCCCGACCTCCTCAGTGCCAACGAGGTCGACAGCAGCAGCAGAAGCGACAGAGGGGAGAAGGGTGACGGGGGAGCACCCCTCAAAGAAAGGGGCGCGGGGGTCGCGGCGAGAAGCTCCTACAGCAACAATACTCTTCTCTGCTGCAGTAAGGCGCTCCTCAAGCAGGTCGACGGTGAGCTCAGTGGGGCAAAGGGAGAGAAAGTGGTCCCTGACTGAAGAGAGAGAGTCAGGGAGACGGGTGACTAGGTAGTAGAGAGTGATGTACATGGGGGGGGGGGTTCTTGGCACAGAACTCAGTGGGAAGCGCAGCGCGGTAGCGGGTGTCACTATTGCGGAGGTGAGTAATGAGGTCAGCGACTGTGGCAAAGGCAGCAAGTTCAGGGAACAGGTACGGCAGCATGAGGCGGCTGAGAGCAGCAGTGGCAGGGGAGGAGTAGCGCGCGACAACAGCGTCATACAAAGACTTTGCAGTCTTGTACTGGCCAAAGTGCGCGCGCTCAGCAGACGGCAGGTGACTACGAACAGCAAGACGAGCAACAGCGTCACGAGTGGTCCACTGCGAGCGAACCGTACTGTCAGCAGTGGCAGCAGGTGCAGGAGAGACACCGGACGTGTGATCGAACAGGGAGACTCCGTCCTTGGAGTCGCACTGGAGAAACAGCTGTAGGTCGTCTACCCACACCTCGAAGTCAACAGCACGATCCTCAGCATCAAAGGTGAGAACAGTAGGACTAGCCATAGCGGCAGTAGCAGCAGTAGCAGCAGAAGCAGCAGTAGCAACAGAAGCAGCAGTGGCAACAGAAGCAGCAGTAGTAGTAGGGCAGTGCGGCTCAGTAGGGCGGCGCGGCTCGGTAAGGCGGCGCGGCTCGGCTAGGCGGTGCGGCTCGGCTCGGCGGCGTGGCTCGGCTGGGCGGCGCGGCTCGGCTGGGCGGCGCGGCTCAGCTGGGCGGCGCGGGTGCTTACCAGGGGCGGGTGCAGGGTAGGGCCGCAGCTGGCGATTAGGTCAGGGCCGCGGTTGGGGCGGCAGCAGGGCAGGGCCGCGACTGGGCGGCGGTAGAGCAGGGCCGCGAGTGGGGCGGCTGCAAGGCAGGGCCGCGACGGTGAGGCCACAACAGCGGCTGCAGGTGCGTCAGCGGCAAGGCAGGGCCGCGACCGGTGCTGCAGGCGTGACGGCGGCTGCAGGGTGGGGCGCGACAGTGGGGGCCGCGACGGTGGCGGCGATTAGGTCAGGGGCCGCGACGGGCAGAGGCAGGGCAGGGCCGCGACGTAGGGCGGCAGGAGAGGGCCGCGAGTGGCGGCAAAGCAGGGCCGCGACGGGCAGAGGTGCACGACGGGCAGGGCCGCGACGGGCAGAGGCGCGCGACGGGCAGAGGCGCGTGACGGGCAGGGCCGCGACGGGCAGAGGCGCGCGACGGGCAGGGCCGCGATGGGCGGCAGGCAGGGTCGCGAGTAACGCGACAGCAGGGCAGAGGCGCGCGACGGCGCAGGAGAGGCAGGCGCGACAGCGCGCTTCGGGCAGGCTAAACAGTTTCAGTGGTGGGCCCTAAAAAAAACGTTCCCACGGAGGGAACCTGCTCAGAATACCATGTCAGAATAGGAATGAAGGAATGATTGAACTAGCAAGCAGTTGGGTACAAGTAGGAAACCTAGAAATATTGTACCCTATATATGCTACCCCACTACAGCCTACACAGACTATAGCATATAAGTTTGACACAAATGGCCACAAGGCCAGTTCACATGCCGAGTTATATAAAGGAGAAGAAGCAATACAGTGATCACAACATAGCAAGTGTAAGCATGCAGGTATATGTATAGAGATCACAGTACAAGCAGAGTCAAGAAGTAAGCAAGTGAGGCACAGTAGGCACAAGGCCTAGAACAGTACAGAAACGCTGATGATCACAAGGCTGGAGTGCCTTGGTGAAGACATCAGCAGCGTTGGCCTGAGTGGCCACGTAAGCAAGACGAAGCTGACCACGCTGCTGCAACTCTCGAGCAAGGAAGTAGCGCAGAGCGATGTGCTTCGTTCTGTGCTCCAGTCTGTGCTCCTGACACAATGCAATCATGGCCTTGTTGTCGACGTACAGCACTGGAGGAGAACGAGGCACCTCTCCCAGGTCGGTCAGCAGGTAGGTGAGCCAGCGTAACTCCTGTGCAGCCATGGCCCCTGCGTAGATCTCAGCCTCACAACTGGAGCTGAGAACAGAAGAAGAGCGGGTAGACCGCCAAGAAACAGAGCCGGAGCCAAGGCTGAAGGTGTAACCCTGTGACGACCGCTGCGTAGCCAAGTCGTCAGCCCAAGAAGCGTCTGCGTGACCAGTGAGGACAACTCGAGCCCGTCCTCCAAGCACGAGCCCCATGCCCGACGTACTGCACAAGTAGCGCAACACCCTCTTAGCGGCATCCATGTGCTCCTTCCTGTGTCGGCCAGGAGCGACATAGCGTGCTAGGATGCTAAGAGGGTAGGCAAGGTCAGGTCGAGTGCAGGTCATCAGGTACATGAGGCAGCCCACAAGCTCTGGATACGGGCCACTTGGCTCTACGGACTCGTCCGAAGGTGGAGCTGAGAGCGAGTGACCGGTAGGCAGAGGAGTGGACTGTGGCGGGGAGTACGTGAAGCGGAAGCGCTGAAGGACCTGCTGCACCATGTGTGACTGAGTCAGGGTAATGGTGCGCTGTGCTCTGTCCCGGGTGATCCGCAAGCGAAGATAGCTTGTCAGCTCACCCAGGTCTGTGCACGTGTGTCTCTTCTGCAGCTCTGACTTCACGTGGGCGAGTGCCTCAGTGTCAGAAGTAGCAAAGACCAAGTCGTCTTACTCGCGCTGATAGCATGTCAAAATAGCAGGAAGAAAGTTAGAAACAGGAAAGAGGGGTTTCACTAGCAGGCAGTTGAGTACATATAGCAAACCCTAATAGGGCTGTACTCACTATAGAGTACCCCACTGCAGACTAGAGAAATATAACATTCTGACAAGGTAGTCGAGTCAGCGGATCTGTCGTGGGTTGAGGTGGGGCTGTGCGCGGAGGTACTGTAGGGATCGGTGGTTTGTCCGTACTGTCACGTATGCGCCGGTCAAATAACAGCGCCACACTCTGAACGCGTGCAATATCGCGAGCATTTTGAGGTCGTGGATTGGGTAGTTTTTCTCGGGCGGGTGCAGCTTTTGAGACTCGTGTGTGACGGGTTGGAGGCCGTCGCCAAGCCCTGCTCCAATGGCGATGTCGCTGGCGTCGGTAACCACTTTGAATGGGCGGTGTGGGTCGGCAATACGTAAAACGGGCGGTGAACAAAACACATTTAAGGGCAGAGAAGGCAGCATGCTCTTTCTCCCCCCACGTAAAAACGACCCCCTTCCGGAGCAAGTACGTCAGTGGGGCTGTTAAGCGTTCCATATCGGGGACGAACCGACGCACATAGTTAAGAAAACCCAAAAAACTCTGCAGCTCCCTGATGTTTTGTCAGGGGGTGCCACGCTTTGACGGTGTCCATTTATTTTAGGGTCTATTTTATTTCCTGCTTCTGAAATGACGTGCCCCATAAACTCCAAGCGGTCCTGAAAAAACTGTCAGAAATGAGAAGGAACGAATGACCGAACTAGAAAGCAGGTGGGTACAAGTAGGAAACCTAAAAGTGTTGTACCCTATATGAACTACCCCACTACAGCCTACACAGACTATAGCATATAAGTTTGACACACCCCCATAGGCAAAGTGGGGGAGAACAAGAGGTCACAAGACGGGTCAAGAAAGGCAAAGGAAGCTCAGGGTGGATCACGACGTCACCACGCATTCTGAGCACAAGCAAATGGCCACAAGGCCAGTTCACATGCAGAGTTATATAAAGGAGAACAAGCAATATAGTGATCACAACCTAGCAAGTGTAAGCATGCAGGTATATGTATAGAGATCACAGTACAAGTAGAGTCAAGAAGTAAGCAAGTGAGGCACAGTAGGCACAAGGCCTAGAACAGTACAGAAACGCTGATGATCACAAGGCTGAAGTGCCTTGGTGAAGACATCAGCAGTGTTGGCCCGAGTGGCCATGTAAGCAAGACGAAGCTGACCACGTTGCTGCAACTCTCGAGCAAGGAAGTAGCGCAGAGCGATGTGCTTCGTTCTGTGCTCAAGTCTGTGCTCCTGACACAAGGCAATCATGGCCTTGTTGTCGACGTACAGCACTGGAGGAGAACGAGGCGGCTCTCCCAGGTCGGTCAGCAGGTAGGTGAGCCAGCGTAACTCCTGTGCATTCATGGCCCCTGCGTAGATCTCTGCCTCACAACTGGAGCTGAGAACAGAAGAAGAGCGGGTAGACCGCCAAGAAACAGAGCCGGAGCCAAGACTGAAGGTGTAACCCTGTGACGACCGCGCGTAGCCAAGTCGTCAGCCCAGGAAGCGTCTGCGTGACCAGTGAGGACAACTCGAGCCCGTCCTCCAAGCACGAGCCCCATGCCCGATGTACTGCACAAGTAGCGCAACACCCTCTTAGCATCATCCATGTGCTCCTTCCTGTGTCTGCCAGGAGCGACATAGCGTGCTAGAATGCTAAGAGGGTAGGCAGGGTCAGGTCGAGTGCAGGTCATCTGGTACATGAGGCAGCCCACAAGCTCTGGATACGGGCCACTCGGCTCTACGGACTCGTCCGAAGGTGGAGCTGAGAGCGAGTGACCGGTAGGCAGAGGAGTGGACTGTGGCGAGGAGTACGTGAAGCCGAAGCGCTGAAGGACCTGCTGCACCATGTGTGACTGAGTCAAGGTAATGGTGCGCTGTGCTCTGTCCCGGGTGATCTGCAAGCCAAGATAGCTTGTCAGCTCACCCAGGTCTGTGCACGTGTGTCTCTTCTGCAGCTCCGACTTCACGTGGGCGAGTCCCTCAGTGTCAGAAGTAGCAAAGACCAAGTCGTCTACGTACACGAGAACGTAGAACGGCGGCAGAGTGGTGTCGGTGCGTAGAAACAGCGACGGGTCAGCAGTAGAAGGAGCAAACCCAAGAGCAGCAAGAGTCGTCCTCAGTGTGTCGTGCCACTCACGGGGTGCCTGGCGGAGACCGTAGACTGGTGTTTTCGACTAACCTCCGGCGTACAGGGTGGTTGGAATTCTTACCTGCGCAGTTGTACAGCTTTGGTGGACTACATTTTCTTCAAGGAGGGGGGGAAAGAGAGTGATTTCACACTTTACTTTCATGGCAGTTTCTGACATTTAGCCAGACTCGTGCATCACGACGAACGTTCGCGATTAAATTTACCGACATCGACGGTTCCTGTTCGTCGACCTCTGACATCGCGTCAGGATTCCTGCCACCATTGCGCTCATCGCTGCCGTCATATCAAAATCCGTACGGCCAATATCATTGATACTTAAAGTATGCCAGAGAAAGTTTGCATCGGTACTCAACATCGATTTCTCATCGCTGATTGGTCGTCGCTTTTCAATCACACTTTTACGCTAATATCACCTCCGAAATGTGACAGAAACAAAATGCAATTACCTAAGTTAAATTTGAACAATTGTGTCGAGGTGCTACCCAAGAAATAAAAATTGTATCAAGCGCAAATTGCGTTAAAAAAACTATTTAGGAAAAATGATGCAGACTGGGAATAATTCAACAAAAATGGGGTCGACGGCACCGTCAACCCTCCGTCGACCATGGACCTGCTGTCCTAGAACAGAAGAAAATTAAAATTACATCGAATTGCATGTTATGTAACGGAGGCATCAACCTTAAACGTCATGCGACAAG